GTGGATGTAGCAGATAGAAGAACTCTGAAATGGTGGTTGACACAAGGAATGGATTTCTCTACTTGGTCTAGTAAAATATATCCAGGAAAATTACCTTATTACTGGTATATGTTATTACCAGGAAGTAATAATGAATGGAATCTTTATGATATTGTAACACATGATGTTTTACATAATAATACTGATGTGTTTGATGCACATGCAGGTAATCATATTATATATAGTACAAAGATGGATATGCAGAAATGCTACATGGAACCGACCTCTTTGAATCCTTGCTTAATCGATAGAGGAGGATTTAATGAAACCAAGGGATGGGTTACTGCCCATTTCCCAAGAGCGGTCCTCTTCCCACGCAAGGAAAAGGACGGTAATTTTATGAAGACTTTAGAGGCTCCAGGATTTTTACCTTTACTACATCAGCCAGTTAGATTTTTGATACAACCACAAGTACAGCCAATTGTGTTACGTTTGTCTGTTAGTGATTTGTTGAAAGGTGAAACTGTATGTCCTTCTTTTGAGTCTACTGTGTTGCCAGATTTGTTTTATTCAGTTCAAAGAAATGCAGCAGGACGGAGACCTTTGCAGTTCGCAGCGATTGGCGCTTTCCTGGCCGGAGCAGCTTTGGGGGCAGCAATCGCTGGAGCAATGACGGAGGAACTTCGAGTGGAAATTTCAGCTCTGCGAGGACTTCAGAATAAACAGAACTTTGTTATCTCACAATTATCTAAAAATCTGCACTCCGCATCTTTACTTATGGAAAGACTTTCTGCAGAACAGGAACTTTTGAAACATCATGTTGATTCATTAAGTAAGGTGATTGAGACCATGGATGCATCATGGAATGTGCGTATGAAACAATTGGAGGCAACTCAGGAGTGTGAACATTTGCAAGCAATGATCACCGCGGGATTAGAAGAAATAAGACTGTTATTTAGAACTGGCATAGGCATGGAAACTGCATCAGCTATAACCATATTAGATCCTACAAAGGATTCTTGGTGTGAAACTGGTGTTTGCATGATTAATTTATGGCAAATGTCGACATCTAAGGTTGTAATAGGATATCCAACTAAGGCTATACCGAAGAAAATTGGTAAAGATTGGATAATACCATTTGATAAGTTTTATTGGTTAAAATGGAACAATATGTCATATTATGTGCCTAGTGAAGCCACTTATGCGATAGGTAAAACAACTGTTATAGCCTATGATCTTTTCTCAGATGAACCTAGGACTTCTGATATAACTATATCTATGCCTCAGGCTACTTTGTTAGATCTTGGAAATTTTAATATGTTGTCTTGTTATCCTGAACCGTACGTGGTTCAACGATGGCAAAACATTTCTTATAGTGATTCTTTGAGTCTGAATGCTGGTTGCCATATACATACTAATGTCATGATGATGGAACATATGAATTTGACTGTTCAGAAACATCTTTTTAGGAGTTTGAATTTTACTAACACGAGAAATGTACGAGTCCTGACTCAGGTGGTTTATTTGTCTAATCATACTTTTGGGCTACATACTTTTGTACCCCAGCCACCTCTGTCGGAAGAATATAAACATATGATGAAGGCGACGGAGGCAGCCAAGTCCATTTATGCTTCATTAGGGAAGGAAATTGAGACAGTACATAACCAAACTACCGAACTTCTCCAAAGGTTTTCAGGTGAAACACATAAAGTTAAAATGTTGGTTGATTCCGGATACTTGATTCCGCGTGACTTTCAGTATACTTATGATTGTAGTTTTGTAGGTTTCTTTAGAAAATTGGTTCATGCAGATGTTAGTTGCATTATGAGATGGAACCCTTTCCATTGGCTTAAGGAAGGATTGCTATATGTATGTTGTTTTGTATTATTTGTATTATGTATTAAGGTTTGTTTAAAGATTAATAAGTCTGCAGGAAAGAAAACTTACATTAAAATGGATAAACTTCAACATTACAGGGACCATGAAGCGAAAGGCACTAAGAAAATCAAATCCAAGAAGGAGAAGGACGGAAAGATCGAGGAATTATTCTGAACAGTTGCACTATGCAAATTGTCATCTTTGCATCGAATTTCATGTAAATACATGGTTTTTATATAGTGCATATACACTGTTTGGGCAGGAACGTTTTTCTCTTTTATGTAGACTAGTAACCTTACGCAGTGGACCATGGTGTCCACTGGATAGGACCTTGGAAGGCCAAGTGCCCTCTTTGTGTGTGTTTTTGAATCATGTTTGGAATTGTATTTCTGATAATAATTTGCATTGTGATGTTTATTGTAGATATAATATACATTTGTGTGTTAAGACTTTATTTGGATTGTTCACTGAAGTGATGAAGTCTGATCATGATTTATTAACCTTACACTCTAATGCAGGTGCTTTTTATGTTAATGGACTTATTTCACTTAACTATAATAGATCATTATTATTTGGTGATAATTTATTGTGTAGAATCAATTCGCAATGCAGACAAAGGAATACATATGTTCCTAGATCTTTATTTGACATATGTTTAAGAAACATTTGTAAGCCTTACTTTATTAAATTATGGACTTATGTGGATTATCATCAACACTTACCTAAGATTGGTTAATATTATAGAATTTCTTGAGGAACTATGTCTGTGGACCAGATAATCATCAAACGGATATTAGGACGCAAGCTGAGGAACGACCTATTATTCAGGAAGGACCGGATGACTCCAATTCCGATGTTCTCTGAAAAAGATGTTAATTATCCATTTATGATAGTTCACAATTTGGTGATAGATTTGGATCTAGTAAAGGATTTGGATTTGGACCTTTATTTACGATTGAAACAACTTTTCGTTCCAAGAGTGAAAGCTCCCTTCTGCTGTGAGTTTCGTGCTATGCTTCAGCCTTTTCTGCACTCCTGTGTGGTCGGTGGCTGCATGGATGCCGTGGATTGCATCTTCCAATCTGAAGATTGGTTTGGAGGGCCGCGACAGCCCATACGTTTCCCCGAGGACGGGCAACTTCCGAATGGACGACCTAAGACAGGGGACCGTACTTGTCGCTTTGATACATCGGCACCATCAGTACCATCGGCGCCTCCGTATCAAGGGGGTGGAATGACAGGAGTAAACATCAAGGATGAATAAACAACATGAATCAGCAAAAGGACTTGTTTTGGACTTGTTTTGGACTTTGCAGTGACTAAGTGACTTTTTAGTTGTAAACATGTTTTGGTTATAGGATGACTAGATAGTATGCCCATGTTAGATAAGTTGATGATGTAACTAGGTAGTGTGCTTATGTTAGATAAGTTAGACATAAACAAGTTTGATAGAGTATATAAGCGCGAGGGAAACTCCATGTATTTGCTCACAATCAACTCTCATCGCCTGAGAGTAAGATCGTGCAGTGTGAGCCAGTCACCTCGTGTATTGCTTTGTGTGGTGTGCGAATAAACCAGCATTTCAAAAGGCAATCGAGTTCGTGCTTGGTGTTCGCGTACGTCGCGATCCGGGGTCCAGTGCAGATATCCGGAAGGGAACTCCTGGTAACCAGACAAGGCTGAGAAGCTGCTCGTGACATCTGGGATGTGAGTTAAAATATTTTTTAATTTGCCTGGTTCTATGCCAATACTGAATGTGCAATAAATCGACAGAATAACAGCATTTTCTGGATAAACAATACTTGAGGTTCTGAAGTACAGTAATGGAAAAGCTATTTTTGTCAGAAGCCTTCCCTGTTTTCATATTAGATGTGAAAACTAGCAATTCTAGCTCTGGGAATCATCCAAAGCTTCTAGCTAAATGAGGTCAAGTGTACCATTGTGTAGCTGGATTTTTTTTTCCTTTTTTTTTTTTTTTTGGGGGGTACCTGGGATTTGAACCCAGGGGCACTTAACCATTGAGCCACACCCCCAGGTCTTTTTTATTTTTTTTATTTTGAGACATGGTCTCACAAAATTGCTTAGGGCCTCACTAAGTTACTGAGGCTGGCTTTGAATTTACAATCCTCCTGCCTCAGCCTCCCAAGCCACTGGGATTACAGTCCATCATACCCAGCAATAGCTGGTTTCTTTCCCAGGAGAGCTAAAAGTATTTTTTTTGTGTGGTGAGAGTCAAGGAGGAGGTAAGGTTGGAGACAAAAGAGGAATGTGGGTTAGAATTGGGTACAGAAGACCTGGGTTCAAGGCTATAGCACTTGACACCTCCCATCTTGTTTTCCTTATCTGTAAATGAAGATGAAAAATACTTGTTCTGCTCACCTCTGGGGAAAAAGGAAATAATGTAACTGGTGAAAAATCATTTTGAAAAATAAGTTATATGCATGTAAGTAGCAAGGTGCTATTAGTTATAATTTGCCCAAGATCACTGGTAGAGACCTATATTTGAGCTATTTGGATATGAAAGCAACCACATTTTGAAAGTCATGAAATTAGTGCTAATAAACCTAATACACAGAAAAACATTTGAAAGCACATGAATTACCTGAGGATAGAAAAGTTTGAGATTAAGAGAAGTTCAGAGTTGGATGGTCTAGGTGCAATTTCTTATTATAGAATCAGAAACCCCTAGACTTCACATAAAATATTTATTCTCTTTTATAAAGTTGCACAAACAGAACAAAATAGATTGATGCCTGCCCTATAAGGCAGAGGACACTTGAGACCTAGTGTATAAAAAAAACAGCTTACTAACTGCATTGTACTATATGAATAAGTTATCACTGGAAAACAAAGTACCAAGCAGAAAGCACAGGACACCATGTGTGGCCATTAATATTATTCCTTCTCCCTTCTATTCCTTTCTCTTCATCCTTAGGCATATGGAATAGGTATATTATTAAATTATAGCTGAAAACCTCACTTTGAGCAAGAGAGCAATCCAGAAATTTAGGGAGTTGAATTCTAGATAAATAAATAAAAATAAAGCAGTTTCATCATTAGTTTGAAAAATCTATGATCACCAGTTAAAAGTTGAATAACAAAACAAAAGTTAAAACATTTCTCATCAGGCAATTCAGACTCACGGCAACGTGTATTGTTTGTCCGACATGCACTGTCACATCGCAGCTTCACTGTCTTGCAGACAACTTCAATATTATTTTTAAACTGGCAGAGGCAGCAGGCCAAATGGCTAGGTAAGATCCTATAAATAGAAACACAGAGGATTAAGTTAATGGAAAAGGAGTTACTTGAGTAGTAGAAGAAGAGTCCAAGGCTATCACAGGACAGTGTAGAAAGGAGTTCTTGATACATATAGCCTGGACAAGTTGGATAGAAACCAATGGTAAACTGCTTTTCTAATTATTATTTTTGTACCAGGGATTGGATCCAAAAGTGCTTAACCACTGAGCCGTGTTCTCAGTCCTTTTTATTTTTTGAGACAGGGTCTTACTAAATTGCTTAGGGCCTTGCTAAGTTGCTGAGGCTGGCTTTGAACTCATGATCCTCTTGCCTCAGCCTCCTGAGCAGACAGGATTATAGGCATGTGCCATGGTGCCTGGCATGTGGCTCTTGAATACTGTAGATATATAGGAAGGAGGAGGGAGATGCCCACCAGAAAGGAAAGCATGGCAGTGGGTATGGAAGGCCTAAATAAAAAAGAAATTAGAATTGGGTGACAGTAAAAAGCATCTCCTTTCAACTTAAAATCTTGCTCTGGGTTAGGAGTGCACAGGAAGATAGAATTCTAAGAAGGATCTGAATAAGTCTCCAACTACTGGAGTCCATATCTCAATTCCGCTTGAGAGTGGTAAATGGTAGACATTATTCTGGGCATAAAAAATAGCTTAGTTTAACTCACATTGTGTGGTTAAACAACAATAGAGATCACATTGGCCAAATCTGGACACTTTGAACATGTAAAAGCATAAAGAGAAGAAACGTGCATAAAAATAGATATTAAATATCATCAGCTATTAAAGAAATGCAAATTAAAACCACAATGAGATACCACTACATTCCTACTAGTAGAAAGGCTAAAAAAATATTATTCCTTGAAACAAGGAATAACTTGAAACAAGGATTAGATGAAGACATGGAGAAACTGCAACTCTTCTATTCTGATAGTAGATATGCTAAGAATTATGCTAAGTGAAAGAAGCTAAAAATCTACTACTAGATGATTTTATTTATAAGACATTCTGGAAAATTTTAAACTATAGGGAAAGATAAAAGATTTGGTGGTTTGTAGGGGCTGGTGGTGGGAGGAGTGGATGAATACAAAGCGATGTAAGGGGCTATTTTGGGAATGACAAATGTTCTATATCATCAGGTGGTGGTAACTACATTACTATACATCAAACTGTATGCTTACAGTGTGAATTTTATTACATGAAAATTATACCTCAATAAAGTTAAGAAAATAATGTATTAAAATAATTTTAAATTCAAGATATGAAAAGAGACCTAAAAAATATCAAGTAAAATAAATCCAAGAAAAAAAAAAAAACTTACAGTTTTTCCAATTCAAGAGTCATCAGGAGGATATTCTCAATTGTCGAAAGTGATACTTGAGTTGTTCCCATGTCTCTGAAAGAGAAAGCCAAGATATTCATGATGAACCCCAATAAATATTCTATACTTGAAAAAATATTTCAAGGACATGTGATAATTTTTCTATTTTGGCTTCTCATAAAACAAGCTGCCTTAAGAGTTTATTTCGAATAGAAGATAATTCCATAAAGCTCTTATTGAAGATACGTAAGTTTACTATTTGCACCATCAAATAATGATCTTGGCATTGAATAATAGAACTTACATCTTTTTTAAACCATCATCTTACTTCTTATTTTCATATTGCATCATTTCTTTCTTTTTTTTTAGATGTAGATGGACACAATATCTGAATTTATATATTTTTATGTTGTGTCGAGGATCGAACCCAGTGCCTCACGCATGCAAGGCAAGCACTCTACCACTGAGCTACAACCCAAGCCCCTCTTTTTTTCTTTTTTAAAAATAATATACATGTATTCCTCTGTGCTTTCTGGGATAAATAATATAAGTGTTCTTTAATATGGCTGCCTTCTTCTGATGGCTGTCTTGCCCCATGATATATCCTTCCTTAACTCTTCTTTACCATAACATTTTTCTCCAGTAACTAATTAAAATTAAAATTATGACTTTTTAGTATTAATACAAAATACTTAACCCTTTGATGAAGTAAACAAGAAGAGCAGAAATCATATCTTGAGTTTAAAATTGTTGTGATACTTACAGATATTTTAATGCTGGCAATTTAAAAAGATATGAATCTTCAACAGTTGTCAGAGGATTACGACTGAGAGTTCTGAAACATGCAATGGAATTAAAATTATATTTTCAACATGCATGAGACTACTTTTTTATAAAGAACTTATATGTTTAAAAAATATTTTGTCTTTATATATAAATCACCCTTAGAATTTCATAAGGCACTTTTTTATTTGGGAATTATCCAGCTCTCTAGAAGATCAAGTGGAAAAGAGAAAGAAAAAGAAAAAAGGAGGGGGAAAAAAAGTGAACACAAAGAAAAAAATATGGCAAAGAATTTTCAGGTCAAAAACCCTAGAAGTAACTATACTACTAGGAAGCCCTTGCCCTATAGGAAACAGTATTTTTAGTGCCTTCCATATTTCAAGGTGTTTGTCTTTCATTTTTAGAAATTTAAAACATTTCATGGTCTAATTCACTTAGTTAAGAAAAAATATAGAACCAATTCCTTGGCTTGGAAGTCAAAGGAAAGGGGATAAAGCTAAGCAATGGAACTGGTAGAAGTCATGCTCCCAGCACCTACTGTCACTGGTATTTTTCTATCACTTCAGAGCCTAGTGCAGCAAATTTTCTAGGTATTAGTAAATGTTTGTTGAATAAATAAATAACATTATGTTTACATGTAAATAAAATGAATTAATTCTCTCTTTTTGAGATGGGATCTCACTATGTTGCTCAGGGTGGCCTTGAACTCCTGGGCTCAAGTGATTCTCCTGCCATAGCCTCTGGAGTAGCTGGGACTATAGGAATGTGCCAAACACCAGAAATAAACTTTTTTTTTTTTTTTTGTATGCAGGATTGAACTAGGGGTACTCTACTAGTGAGCTATATACCCAGCTCTTCTTATTTTTTATTTTGAGACAGGGTCTTGATAAGTTGCCCAGGCTGGCCTTGAAACTGCTGAAGCTTGCCTCAAACTTGCAGTCCTCTTGCCTCAGCCTCCCAGTGTAAATTTATTTTTATGCAAATGTTTACTTTAAAATACTGAAAGATATTTCTTCAATTCATTAAAGCAAGCAAACAGAAAACAAAAAGACAAAAGAAATAGGAAAAAAGAAAAAGAAAATCTGACTTTAGCTTAACTCTACTCAAGAATCATTAGTGTATTCCTACAGAACACTTTTTGAGGGGTCACCAGAAATAGTACCCAGGGGAACTTAACCACTGAGCCATATCTCTAGCCCTTTTTATGTTTTAAGATACAGCCTCACTAAGTTGCTAAGGCTGGCTTTGAACTTGTGATCCTCCTGCCTCAGACTCCTGAGCTACTGGAGTTTATAGGAATGTCTTACTGAACCTGGCTAGAACATTTTTTTAGTTGTTTCTTTATAATTATTCATAACATTTTAGGATTCATTTTAACATAATTATAAAAGCATGTAATATAATTTGCTCTAATTCGGTCCCTAGTACTCCCTGTTCCCCCTCTTCTCCTTCCCCCTGTTCTCTCCCTTCTACTCTACTGATTTTTCTGCTATTTACTTATAGTTTTTAAGAATAATTATTGCAGCTAACATCTATTAGGCTGCCAGGCATCTATGATCAGCATTTCATATTTAATCCTCATAATAAGCTTATGTGGTAAATGTTATCATGACCCCATTTTACAAATGAAGAAACTGAGGCACAGGGAGGTTATATAACTTATCCTAGGGCCACCAAACTAGTAAGAAGCAAAGCTGGAATTTGAACTCATTTCTGACCCCAAAGCCCATATAAAGAAAAAAAAAGGGGGGGGGGGTTTAAGACAGAAGACAGATGTTACTTTAACCTTAGCTTTGAGAGAACTAAATTCAGAAATGCCTCGATAAACTTCATCTGCTCATCTGGAAAAGTCTATGAGAATTATACTTCTACTTCTTTTCCCTAATTATTTTCCATGATTAAATAATTAGCCCACAGAACTGAGACTGTAGAGATTTAAAACCTTTTTATAGGTGACATCAGTGAAAATTGGTGGAGTAAGGATATCTGAAAATACATCCCTCCACAAAGGCAACAACAACAACAACAAAATGGCAAAATGGTCAAAATCACTTTTTCCAGTGTTCTGGAAATTTAATCAAAGGCTTACAGCAAACTAAGAAGCATTTATTCCAGAAAAACAGCTGAATTTCTATACGAACAGTGAGATTTGTGTTGTTCTTCCATTCCTCACTCTCTAGCTCAGTGATAGCTTTGAAAAATAGCCCAGCTGGGTGCGGTGGTGCACCCTGTAATCCCAATGGCTCAGGAGGCTGAAGCAGGAGGATCATGAGTTCAAAGCCAGCCTCAGCAACAGGGAGGTGCTAAGCAATTCAGTGAGACCCTGTCTCTAAAAAAAAATTCAAAATAGGGCTGGGGGGTGGTTTAGTGGTTGAGTGCCCCTGAGCTCAATCCCCAGTACCCCAAAACAACAACAACAACAAAAAACTCTTAGGATAAAATATAGGAGTAAATGCTCACAACCTTGTTTTAGGTTAAAAGGTTCTCAGATATGACACCAAAAGTATAAATAACCAATGGAAAAATTAGGTAAATTAGATTGTATCAAAATTTAAAAGTTTTATGCTTTGAAGGACACTATTAAGAAGGTGAAATGACAACTTATAGAAGGGGATAAAATATTTATAGATCATATAGCTGATAATACACAGAATACCCAAAATGTATAAAGAACTCCTATAACTCAGAAAAAAAAGACAACTCAATTTTAAAATGGGGAAGTCATAAATAAACATTTCTTCAAATAAGATATGTAAAGGCCAACATGCTCATGAAGAGAATGCTCAGTTTCTCAAGTCATTAGGAAAATGCAAATTAAAACCACAAGATACTACTTTATACTCATAATGTTATGAAGAGAAAGACTGGTTAAGCATTGTTCCTTAATATAAGGCTTTAAATAAAAATAAGACAGATAATAACAAGTGTTGACAAAAATACAGAGAAACCTGAACCCTCATACTTTGTAGCTGGGAATGTAAAATGGTGAAGCCACTGTGGAAAACGGTCTGGGAATTCCTCAAAGAAGTTAACTATAGTTACCACATGACCCACCAATTCCCTTCCTAGGTATGCACCCTAGAATTCCCTTCCTAGGTATGTACCCTAGAATTAAAAACATGTGTCTACACAAAAACTGGCATTATTCATAATAGCCTCAAAGTAGAAACATCCCAAATATTCATTAATTAATGTTTAGATGAATTGATATAATGGTACATCTATACAATGGGATATTATTCAGCTGTAGAAAGTACTGATAACTGTTACAAGGGTGAACCTAGGAAACAATAAACCATGTGAAAGCCAGATATAAAAGGCCGTTACAATATAACTTGTCTATGTGAAATGTCCAGTATAGGCAAATCCAGAAGGACAGAAAGTAGTGAATGCCAGGGACTGTGGGGAGAAAGAAAGAGAAAGTGATAGCTAACTGGAACCATGTTTCCTTTTGGAGTGATGGAAACGTTCAGGTAGATAATGGCGATTGTTGCACAACCTTATGAATGCATTGAATATCCTGAATTGTGCTTTGTAATGTTGCTTTTTTGTGGTGTGTTATATCAATTTTCTTATTTCCATGTTTCCCCATTCACAAGACAGAGCAGGCACAGGGCCTGAAACTTATCTAATTTGTGGGGCCTGAAACTTATCTAATTTGGGAAATGACCTCTGATAAAAACATGCAAAATTTATGTATATAGAAATTGGGAGGGCCGGGTGTGGTGTCACACGCCTGTAATCTCAGTGGCTTGAGAGGCTGAAGGAGGAAGATCGCGAGTTCAAAGCCAGCCTTGGCAATGGAGAGGCACTACACAACTCAGTGAGACCCTGTCTCTAAATAAAATACAAAATAGGGCTGGGGATGTGGCTCAGTGGTTGAGGGCCCCTGAGTTCAATCCCCAGTACCAACCAAAAAAAAAAAAAAAAAAAGGAAAGGAAAGGAAAAAGAAAAAGAAAAAGAAATTGCGAGGGCCCCAATCAGAACCTTACAAGAGACCTGAGCAAGGGAGGAGACCCAGAACTTAGGTTCCATTCAATTCATGATATATCTACACCAGCTGAGACCTCTGTACAAACTTTTATAGTTCAGAGAAAATTGGTATTTTAACTTATAAACACCCCAGTACATTCATATTGATCATAAAATTACTGGCATCTTCCCTTGGCAAGTTGCCTTTGGAAAGAAATTTAAGAGGCTTATCTCTCACTATGGCAAGTGTTTCCTGAAGCAAAATGGCTTTATCTATTAGAAAAATTTTACCCAAAACAAAAGTGCTCAGCTCCCAATACACACTTGGTGGATCGTGACCATTGCGCCAATCTTTTTTTTTTTTCTCTCTCTCTCTCTTTTTGGTACTGGGGATTGAACTCAGGGGCACTTAACCACTGAGCCATACCCCCAGCTCTTTTTTGTATTTTATTTAGAGACAAGGTCTCACTGAGTTACTTAGGGACTTTGCTAACTTGCTGAGGCTGGCTTTAAATGCATAATCCACCTGCCTCAGCCTCCTAGCTGCTGGGATTATAGGCGTGTGTCACTGTGCCCAGCTCTTTTCTTCTTTTTTAAGAGACAGGTCCTTACTATGTTGCCCAGATTGGCCTTGAACTCCTGTCTTAGCCTCCCAAATGGCTGGGACCACAGCTGTGCACCTTGTCTGGCTCATTGTGCCAATTTATGAAAGCAACTATGAATTGGTCTGAGAGGCAGAGCTCCATTCGCACTGCATGAGTGTTAATGTCCATTGCCATTTGGCTCTGATTTCTCATCATGAAGCAAATGCTTTTTTCTGTTCAGATGAACACAGAAACTAGAGATAGGTTGTTGCCTCCTCCATTATGAGTCTTTTCTGACCCACCACTCATCCCTGCTTTGTTTGAAAAGTAGACCCTCCATATTCTTTCCCCAAGTTAGGCTTCAGCAAATTGATGAAGGGGAGGAGGTGGCTGCAATAAATGAGCATCTGAAGGAAAAGTTAATCCAGCTCCAGGCATACCATAACCATCCCTTCATGGAACCCAAAATGAACCATGTGAACCTGGATTTCTGATCCACGAGACAGGTGAGCAATTTTTTCCAAAATTGAGTTGAGGGGAGAACTTTCACCTTGAGTCTTAAATCCCTTTCAGGGTTAGGGGTATATGTTGCTCAGTGCCAGAGTGCTTGGCTAGAATGCCCAAGGCCCCTGGGTTCCATCCCCAGCACCGAAAAACAAAACAAATCAAATAAATAAGTAAAAACAAAATTCCCTTTTGAGCTGAAAGGAAATAAAACCCATACTTCTTGTTGAGGGTAGTCAGAAAAGAAAGTATATGTAATTAGGTCAGAGCAATGTATTTTCTTTACAAATAGTTTTTACACTTTCTCACACCTCAAAGATTCCTACTGCCTACATACAATTCATGACTTCAGAGGCAGGTATTTTTAGAAAAATAATGCTCTGGGTGATTGGGGAGAGAGGTCCCCTGAATGAGGTTTAAAAGAATTCGTTTCTGCTTTCCATTGAGAAAGCACCTACATCTGTGCTCCCTGGAGGGCTTTATGCTAAACTTCATTCTTTGTAGCCCTGTTGCATATATTTAAGCAGTTAGGGACTCTAAATGTGAGATGGAATCAGAGTTAAACTCAAAAATGAAATTCAAGGACAATTCACATGTCAGAGCATCATCACTGAGAAGACCATGGCAATGCTAATTTGGGTGTTGCTTGCATGATGCTTTCTATTATCTATGCCAGAGATCAGTGCTAGGGAAAGCAGAGCATGTCCTATATAAATTACAAGTGTCTTGGCCTCTCTGTACCTTAGTTTCCTCATTTGAAAAGAATGAATGGATCTTAAGACATACTTCTTAAGACAGCTAACCAATAACTGTATAATGTTTTTAACACATAGTTTTGGGGTTTTTTTTGTACATGCGTGTATCTTCTATTTCACTTACAACTTGTGTAAAAACTGCAGTCCATGCCATGCCTGAAATGTTCCAAAGCTCAGTTCTGTCAGTAAATTGCAACCAAGGTTTCTACAAAAAAGATAAGCCAAAGAAGAAGGAGAAGAAAAAAGATATTCTTTCAGAACATTTATCATTTGGCAGTGATTCTAACTTATATATGATTAAATGTAATCTCAATACTTTTTCCACACACTAAAGAAATCTTGCTGTGGAAGATCCTGACTTATGACTTATATTTCTGCGTTTATACATGCAGAGCCTTAGCTATAAAACAGTGAATGCTCAAAAAATACTTGTGATATTTACTTCTCTAAAACAGGGCTTCACAACTTCAATGCTATTGACATTTTGGGCTGGAAAATTCTTGTTGTGGAGTTTTGTCCTGTATATTGTAGATGTTTAACAGCATCCCTGGTGTCTGGCCACTAGATGCCAAAATGTCACCTGTGTGTAAAATCACACTAATTGAACCACTGCTCTGTAATGACTCATTTCAATCCATGTATAATAATTCTCATACTTATCTTTGCTAGATACGTAAATTTTTAATCATAATTTCACATGAGTAGCAAGGGGGTTTATAAAATTTCAAATATCAAGTTATACTTGTAACTTACATAAACTGCAAAAAAGGTAGTGGTTCAAATGTACGTCTTTCGATAGATTGTATTTTATTGCAGGATAAATCTCTAGGAAAAGTAAAAGGAAAATATTGCCTTGATTAGATATTAGCTATCTAATTAGTATGAATAAATAGAATCCAGAATTGATAATATTGAATACCTAGTTTTTGTTTAAATTCTAAACCTTTGGACTTATATTTGAACTTTTAGAGTTTTTAACCCTGCCCACTCTTCTCTTGAGTCTCACTTTCATAAATAAAATATACAACTTTATATCTTGACAGGTTTTGAGATAGTCATTCCTGACAGTAGGATAATTATTATGTGACCTTTTACAGTTTTATCAAGTTCAACATTATGGGCTACAAGTATTAATTTCTGCATGTAATTTTTTAAATTAAAGGGAATATTCTCATGTTCCTGGCTTAATTTGGTTTTTCTTTCACACGTGCATGTGTATGTGTGTGTGTGTGTGGTACAGGGGATTGAACCCAGGGCCTTGTGCATGCTAAGCAAGCACTTTAACACTGAGCTATACCCCTAGTCCTTTATTCTATTTTTCTAACCCAGTTTAATACTAGAAGAAAAAGATACCTTTCAAATCATTTGAAAGACAGTTACTCCTCTAATTAATACGTGACTTTGAACTAATTCAGAGTTGTACTTTCTATCATACTAATGGAAACTCATTTTGGTTTCATATTACCTTAATACTCCATGAAGTCACTGCTTCGGTTGTGTAGTGCTGGGACAATGAAAAACAACATGGAACTGCATTTTTATTTGAAAACACCCATTCTGATTAGAGTTGACTCTCTTACTTCCACAGATTTCAGCTTGTTCCTCACTTTTCACCTGGATGGGTAGAACTGTCATGACTGGTGTCTCCAACTCTAGGCTCTCCCTTTCTAATCAATCCCGAACACAGTCACCAGTTAGGCTGTCTAGAATTGGTTCTTAAAGACCAGGATTACCTGGGAACTTTTGAAGAATGCAAAATTCTCAGCCCTACTCCAGAATGACTGAATCAGTAACTATGAGGGTGGTATCCAGAACCAAGTTCTACAAAGTCCTCCAGGTGAATCTGAGAGGAGACTCAAGGTTGTTTTAGAGCACTGCAGATGGTTCCCCACCACAGCTCCTTTGCTTGGCACTCGAAGTCCTAGAAGGTTGGGTTCCATTCTCTCTCTTGTGCCCTACAGGTGCCCATGGCACTCCCCAAACACATTTCTGTGTTTTGCCTTTCTCCCACTCTCCCTTTGTAAGCTTTGTATATTTTCCCTAAGATGCCTATCTGATGATTCCCAGTGAGGCCCTTCGAGGTCCTGTTGAAACAGCACTGCCGTAGGAACATTTTCCTTAAACAGTTGGAAATCTTTTCTCCTCTTTTGTGCTGTAGACACAATTTATACCTCTTAGTGCCCATATTCATTTGTTTTCAATTCAATTGTTTTTGTATCCCATTTCTTCTGATACAAACTCTGTGAAAGCCTGGACTGGGTCTTGCTCATCTGTGTTGCCCTCCAGGTTTAAAACTGACACAAGTATTTGAGAAACTAAAATATTTATAAAATAAATGAATATCTAGGGAGTGAGGAGGGGGACAAAAATGACTAGTTAAAAAGGAATGCAGTTTGTGACTTCACAGCTGGCCCTTCTGCTGCACCTCTTTAGCACTTTGTCATCCACTGGGTACTTGCTGCATTATGGTTTGAGCTTAGCCTTGTCTCCTCTGTGAGCCCCTAAGTTCCTAAAGAAGAGGAACCTGTCTTACTCATCTTTGTCCTTCCAATACTAGGGAACAGTGTTTGGCATATTCTTTTGAGCTCTTTTTTATTGGTTAGTGTTTTTTTTTAAATAAATGCAAAATATATATATGCTAACATGAAATAATTAGCTAACAACGTATTACATAGTAGAAATAATGAAAAGTCTACTCCATTAAGCAGTTATCTCATTTGTTGTCTCCAAACCTGGTTTGTAAGGTTTGAGGCAGAAGTGACTAAAACCAGCAATACAAAAGCAGTTGTCCCTGAGGGCCTAGGAGGTTTGATAATTCAAAGGACTACTTTTAGTATCATGTGAAGCTCTTTATACTCACTTCTTTTAAGCCTTCTACATCTGAAAAAAGAATATATTTACTAAAAACATCATTAGTTAGCTTAATAGGGTTAATGACCCACACATATCTAGATACCACAGACAAAGGATAAAAATCAAGCTTTCACAGCAAAGAACCTAAATTATCTTTAACCAGATAAAAATACTATGTAAGTGTTCCCTCCTTGACAATAATAATAATAGAGAGATTTTAATTTTGTGATTAATGAAAAGTTATAGGCAGTTCTGATCTGCTTACTTAGTGTAAACGTTGCAAGCTACACTATTTAACCATCATTTCAAATATCTATTTTCTGGAAGGGGATACTGAGATTGAACCCAGGGACAATTTAAAACTGAGCCATATCCCCAGCCCTTTTGATTTTTTATTTTGAGATTGGGTCTCACTAAGTTGATTAGAGCCTTGCTAAATTGCTGAGGCTGGCCTTGAACTTGCAATCCTCCTGCCTCGGGCTCCTGAACTGCTGGAATTACAGGCATGTACCACCATGCCCAACTTTTTCACATTTTTTATTGGTGTATTATAGTTGTACATAATGCTGGGATTTGTTGCTACATATTCATACATGCACACAATGTAACAATAAACTTTGGCCAATATCATTCCCCAGCACTTCCCCCTTCTCTCCCTTCTTCTCACCCCTTGGTTCCTTTCCTCTTTTCTACTGATCTCCTTTTGATTTTCATGAGCCTCACTCCCATCTTTCTTTTCTTTTTTCCTCTCTAGTGTCCACACATGAGAGAAAACACATGACCCTTGACCTTCTTTATACTTCTGTGTTTGGCAAATATCTATTTTTAATGAAGGTATGCCAATTCCTGCATTGAAATCCTTAATACTGCTTAGTAGTATTAGCTACTACTACTAGCTTAGTAGTCTTGAAAATATTATTATGTAATTTACTTACTTAGTTATTTAGTCTTTTTTTTTTTGTTCCAGGGATTGAACTCAGGGGCACTCAACCACTGAGCCACATCCCCAGCCTTATTTTGTATTTTATTTAGAGCCAGGGTCTCACTGAGTTGCTTAGCATCTTGCCCTTGCTGACGTTGGCTTTGAACTTGCAATCCTCCTGTCTCATCCTCCTGAGCCACTGGGATTACAGGTGTGTGCCATCATGCTGGCTAGTTATTTAGTCTTTAAGCATTAATTTAATTCAGTTTAATTGTTAAAACATTATGAATTAATGACATTCAAATGAATATAGGTGGCCTATTTTTTTCTCTCCTGTAGGCACCAAACTGAGGTTAACTTTAATTCCCTCTGTTCTACTAATCCAACTTTTTAAAACCTTATTTGCAAAGGCCAGATAGTAAATATTTTAGATTTTGCAGGCCACATACGATCTCTGCTACATATTCTTTCCTATTTATTTTACAGCATTTTAAAAATGTAAAAATAATTCTTAGTTAATGAGCTGTATAAAAATTGACTGTGGTTTGGTTTTGATCCATGGGCTCTAAATTAGATATAAATACATGTAAACACTTATAAAACAAGGTTCATATGAGTGTTAGTAATTGCTCTGATCTTATTACCACTTTTCCACTGTAAGTGGAGTTTTTTTTTTCCCATCCGTATCTTGTCTATATAATTTTTAAAACTAAAAATGCTTAGGAGGTATTTAATGCTGGAGATGGGTTAAAATCTATACAAACTTACACAATCACAGAATTTAATTGCTGGAAGAGATTTTACAGATTATCTAATATGAACCCCTTATTCATTACATAACTCATAACTCACAGATAAATATGATTAACTAACTTACAAATACTGGAGGGATAGCAGGCCTTCAAAGGAATCTTTGTGTAATTCAGTCAGGGAATTTTCACTGAGAATTCTGAAAGATGAAAAGGTTATTTCTGGGCCAAAATTCAGCACAAAGATGGAGAATATCCAGTGGTAAAACAGTATGAGAAAATGAATGCTGTCATATTCTCTTGCCAGGAGTATAAAGTGGCATAACCTTTTTGCGGGTAGCTAAAATTTCATATCTACAATAGTCTTCACCCCCCAAAATCTCATTTCTATTCTATAGAATTATATGCCCATGTTCACAAAGAAGTATGTTTATTGACATTATGCATGTAAACAGGAAAACCATATACACTCTAAACATCCATCAGTAGGGGAATTATTTTTAAATAAACCATGATATGTTCATATGATGGAATATTATGCATGAGTTCAAATGAATAGGGTAGGCTCTGTGTACTAAAAAGAAACCTGACATATGATGAAGTGAAAGAGTCAAGTTGCATGAATGTTACCATTTATGTAAAAAAAGATAATAAAACCATGCAACAAACCTATTTTGCTATATGTAAATATGTGTGTAGGCAAATGCATGGGGAAAGATCCAGAAGGTTATATATACCAAACTCAGAGTAGTGGTTTCCTCAGGGGTGGAGGGTTAGAGCACAGGGATGGTCTCACTATACCTGTTATTTCATATTTACTCATTAAGAATGTAATTATGTATTACTTACAAAATGGAAAATAAATTTAAATTGTTTTTTACTTACTTCAAAGAGGGTCCACGAAATTGAATTTTTATTTATTTATTTATTTTTTGCTGTGGTCCTGGGGATGGAATCCAGGGCCTTGCTCATGCTAGGCAATTACTCTACGTACTACTAAGCTACAAACCCAGTCCCCATGAAATTTAATTTTTAAAATAACCACCAAATTTCACTCAATACAGGCTGAATTAATTTATGGAGGGGAAAACCTTTTTCTAACAGTATTGACCTCAACATTCTAGACTAAGAAGGATCTTACAATGCATTTTTTTTTTTTTTTTTGTATTCATGTTTGGAGAGAATATACTCACAGTTTCTCAGCCCAACGGTAAGATTTCCATATGTTTTCTTCAATGTAAGAAATAACATTTCCTTGGAAATTCCTGTGAAGAAACAGTTTATACCTTTGAATAAGTAGGGAAAAAAAAGAACAGAAAAAGTAAAACAATCATGGAGAACATTCAAATATAGAAAAAACAAACAAAACAAAAACCCAGATTTCTAATTTTCAGAACTATCAGCTTCCCGGTTTCACAATAAGATAATAATGTGAGCCACTGGCACAAATGATAAAGCAGAAGTTTAACTTCCTATCTGTCAAATTTCAACAGAAAAATGGCAAGAATTTACCATATTAACAAATATGAATTAAGAAACACATTGCAAGTGACACCAAAGCTTTGCCTAAGTGCCCTCTGTTGAAATATCTCCAGGTATTAGGAGGATAAGGACAATTAGAAATCACAGGAACTGGGCTGGGGATGTGGCTCAAGCGGTAGCGCGCTTGCCTGGCGTGCGTGCGGCCCGGGTTCGATCCTCAGTACCACATACAAACAAAGATGTTGTGCTGCCAAAAACTAAAAAATAAACATTAAAATTCTCTCTCTCTCTTTAAAAAGAAATCACGGGAACTAATGTGCTGATGTGGAAAGATCTCTTGAACATGTTGCATAGAAAACAAGTATGAATCAATGTTTTTTTTCTTTTTTAAACTTCATCAGGGAAAATTGTGCATAGAAGAGAAAGCAGAAAGAAAGACACACACCAATATGTAACAGGGGTCATCTTATGGGTGGTAGGGCATGGACAACGGGTGAAAAAGGACAGAGGTATAGATTTTCACTTTGATCCAATATACTTCTGTTGACTTTTTTTTTTTAAATGTGAGAATGTATCTATGAATGACATGTTTAAAGAAGCTGTTAAATTATGTTCAGTTTCAACTCTGCAGATACCTTCAACTTTTTTTTTTTTTTAACTCTGTCCTTATCCCTTAGCAATAACTTTTCTGTTTATACATCTTTACATAGACTTTTTCTTGGCATTTGGGGTTGGAGGATAAGCCTGCTCATCTAGTGGACAAATGCCTAGTGGACATTTCCACTCAACCAGAAGCCTTCGGAGGGCTTTATGTTCCCCACTAAGAAATGGCTAAGACTGAACTCATTTCTCTCCAACTGGCTTTCCTTCCTGGTGTTGTTTTCCACCTGCTACATCACCAGCATTCTCATTTTTTATCCAGGACAAAACTCGTGGAGCCATATTTTATTTTTCTCTTTTCGATACACCTCATCCCCTAACTCTTTTAGTCAATCATTAAAGCATTTGTTATTCTTCTAAAGCTCCCAGGATTTTTTTCCTTTTAACAGACTAAAGTCAAACCTTAAAATGTTTTTAATATCTTACTTTTAAAACCTGGCATTTTTATTTGTTATCAAACAGAATAAATTGATGGAATTTGATTTTTCTTTTTCCAACTTTTATTTGTCCTTTTTAGTTATGGAAGTAGAATGTATTTTGACATATCATATACACATGGAGTATAACTTCCCATTCTTGTGGTTGTACATGACGTGGAGTTACACTAGTTGTGTATTCATATATGAACATAGGAATGTTATATCTGATTCATTCTATTGTTTTTCCCATTCCCATTCCCTCCTCCTTCCCCCACTCCCCCTTGCGCTCCCAGGATTTTCTTTCTACTCCCATCACAACCACTCTGATTAAGCTCCTTCTTGCTTTACTCATAGATTTTGCTAAAGTTTTCTAGGTGGCCCCATTGAATTAAGCTTTCTCTTCTAGATCACTCTAAAAATGGATTATAAAATTATCTTCCTGTTTTAATTATTTTTATCTCTTGCTTGAAAACTTTCAGTGGCTCTTCATTTCTCACTGTGTAACTTTCAAACACCTATAGTTGATATTTAAGATTTTTCATATTACCTTTCATTGATTCTAACCCAATACTTTGTAGGCCTACTAGTCTACCAAATCCTGGTCATTCTTGCAGCCATTCCTTTGTGTAGATATACTTCCTGTTTTTTTCTTTAACAATTATAGCCACTTTCAAGCACCAGGTAACATTTGAGCCTATCTGTACAGCTTTCCCAACATCCATACCTCAGTAATGAAAGATTCTGAAGAATTACTGCACCTGTGGTCTGCATCCTCTTTTAGTACTTAATTATATATCATCTCCATTTTTAGTCTTCTTCCCACCTATCATTTTCGTGTTCTGTAAACAATGTCATATTTCTGTGGCTCCTATAGTACTTAGCCCTCAGTTGGGCACAAAATGGATGTTATATGAAAGCCAAGGCTAAGATGAATTCTGGACATAACTGAGGGACTGAATAATAATATTAACAGCTAGTATTCATATATGATAGGCACCGACATGAGTATTACATGTACTCTCTCATCTAAATTTCACAACAATCCTATGAACTGGTAACTATCATAATCCCCATTTTCCAAATAAGGAAACTGAGACATAGAGCTTTTTTGCCCAAGGTCACAACGCTAATAAATGAAAGATCTGGGTTCAAAGTCAGGCAGTCTTATTCTAGAATCTACTCTTAACCACTTGGTTGTATCATCATTAATGAGTTGTAAAGCAGATGGAGCAAAATGGTAGAGCTTAAGCAATGATATGATAGGGCTAAATAAAAATGGGTAAGAAAATAAAGGATGATCACAAGTGAAAGATGGGAGAAAGGACACAAGAGTAAGAAGGAAAAAGAGGATATGGAGAAGTTGACAAGCAAAAACTAAAAGCAAAAAGTCAGTCAATGTGGGTTGGGGAGATGAGAAAGGTCCCGGAGACCCTTGAGGAAAAGGGTAGGCAGAATTCAGAGCACAAATGAGGAAAGGTGATTCTTACAAGACTGTGAAGGTGCCATTGTAGCTGTAGGGCTCTAGCACAGGCACTCGGTGGAGTTTCTGCATTGGGGCGAGACCAACACACAACAGTGTCTCATCTTGGCAGGTACAGAGCTCACATATACTAGTGTTCTTGGTGACATTTTCATCCTTTTCTGTGGCATAAATTTCGGGGAAATGAGTTGTGGTTTGGTCTGGCTCCACTTGTGCAACTGTGAATTCAGTCATATTTGTTTGCTGTGAAGTTGTTTCAGTTGTTGAAAGAGTTGTAGGAGTTGCAGAACTTTCAGTTGCCACACTGGGTAGTGGAGTCAGGGTAATTGTCACGTCTGGAGGTTGAACTCCAACACTAGAGGACTCCGACACCGGAGTTGTACTTATTGTTGGAAGTGTAATCTCATAATATACAGGAGGTTTCGCTATAATCTCTTTATATGGCTCTGGAAGCTGAATTGGCTTCCCCGGCAAGGTTTGAGAAGACGCAATATCAATGTTGGGTTTTGAAGTTATGGTAATTTCCACTTCAAAAGATTGAGCTATGACTGAAGTTTCCTTGTGGTTGATTTGAGGATTTGTAGTCTTTTGGTATGGACGTGGAAATGTCACATCAGGGGGCTCTGGAGGAAGATTTGTAGTTTCCAGATCTAGATGTGGAAATGTTGTCTCCGGGGGTTTTGGAGGAGGATTTGTAGTCCCCTGGTGAGGACGTAGAAGTGTTACCTCATGGGGCTTTAGAGGAAAAGCTGTAGAATGTTTACTCCCACATTGGGCTCTGGAGTTATGGGGAGTTCCACGTCGTGGGGCTTTGGAGGAAAAGCTGTAGGATGTTCAACCTTGACATTGGGCTCTGGAGTTATGGGGAGTTCCACATCCTGGGGCTTTGGAGGAAAAGCTGTAGGATGTTCAACCCCCACATTGGGCTCTGGAGTTATGGGGAGTTGCACTTCCACAGGTTTAAATGCGAGGCTGGGTACTGTTGAATAATGAACTTGATTCTCAGTTAGGACCTGTGGCTGAGTTGAAGTTTCTTGTGTTGGAATCATTCCTTCTTGATACTTTGGAAGCAAAGTTGAGGTTTTCTGCATGGTTGGAAAAACAAATACGGGGACCGTTGGAAGAGATATAGAGAACGTTCCAATAGCTATAGGGAACGATGAAAGAGCTACAGGCTTCTTCTTCGCCCTAGAACGTTTAGTGGGTTTTGGAGTCGAGGTGAGTTCCAGGTCCAAAGGTTGAAATGTAACACTGGGTGATGTTAAATCCTGAGCTTGATTCTGACTTAGGACCTCAGTTGAAGTTTCCATCTGAGTTGTGGTTGCTTGTTGGGCTGAAGAAAATCCAAAGTTTTCAGGGAATCCTGGAGACTGGGAAGGGGCATTCGACTGGGTTGGATAAAATGTAACTTGCTGGGTGGAAACTGGCTCAACTTCTTTAGTGGCTTCTGAAGGTACAGTAACTATCAGAGCCACATGTTGAACTGTGGTTTTAGGCAAATTTGAAGACCCACTTCTGAACATTACTTCTAGATCTTGAGGTGAAAATGACATGGAATCACTGAAGGAAGCAATAGTCGGGACAAATGTGGATTCTGGAGGTTTAGTTGGGAGTGTTTCCTGGACTGGTGGAAGTTCAACACTCACGGGGGGCGTTGAGGGCAGAGATGAGCTCTCCTGCTGACTTGATAAAGATTCCTCAGGCAGCTCTTCAAGCTGACTGGGGACCTCTTGATCAATTGGAGGTTGTTCCTCCTCTAGAGGGGGGCTTGGCTGAGGTTCCAACTGCTCAGGGGACACTGAGGACTCATCTAGGGTCTCCTGTTGCGCTGAAGTTTCAACCTCACTATTCAATTCTGGAGTAGGAGACTCAGCTTGATCAGAACCTAGAGAAGAACCTGTCACATCCTCACCTTCTGGAGATTGACCTACATCGTTAGGGAGCTCTGGAGGCACAGTTGGGGCTTCAGGCTGGGATGCAGAAGGTCCTGACTCATTAGTTGGAATTGAGGGAGGAACTATAGCCTCACCATTGATCATAGAAGTTCCCACCTCTGTAGTGGGTTCAGGTGTTATAGTCATTAGTACATCTGCAGGTTCACCGGTCACACTGGGCAAGTCTAGAGATTGCACTGGTACTTCCAGCTGGCTTTCAGAAGACTGGTCCTCCCCAGGAGACTCAGAAGGCTCAGTTGGGGTCTCTTGCTCACTGAGAGAAGGTTCAGTCTCCACAGGAGGGCCCGGAGGCTGAGCTGGGGTCTCTTGCTGGGTCAGAGAAGGTTCTACCTCCTCCACATACTCTGGAGGCTGAACTGGGGCCTCCTGAACTGGGGCCTCCTGAACTGGAGCCTCCTGAACTGGAGCCTCTGGCTGAACTGGGGCCTCCTGAACTGGAGCCTCTGGCTGAACTGGGGCCTCCTGAACTGGAGCCTCCTGAACTGGGGCCTCTGGCTGAACTGGGCCTCTGGCGAACTGGGGCCTCCTGCTGGGCTAGAGAAGATTCGGCCTCCTTGGTAGGTTCCGAAGTTATGGTAATTTCCACGTCTGCAGGCCTACCTGTAACACTGGGCAAGTTATAATAATGAACTTGATCCTGACCTAGAGATGGAACTACAGGTAGAGTTGGTAGAGTTTCAGCTATATTCTCCATAGGGGACTTGGGAGCTTGAACTGGAGTCTCTTGCTCAGCTAAAGAGGGTTCAGAGAGCTCTGAAGTCTGAGCTGGAGCCTCTTTTTGGGTTGATGAAGGTTCTACTACTTCAAGACCCTCTGAAGGCTGGGTTGGGGCCTGCTCCTGGCCTGAAGGAAGGTGAATCTCTTTATCTGCCTGCGGAGTTACGGTAACCAGATCTGCAGGTTTACTTGTGACAACCGGCTGAGTGTCACTTCTTAGAGATGAAAGCTTATGATGCATTGATGCTTCACCTCCTAGAGCCTCCTGGTCCTCAGGAACTTCTTGCTGGGACGAAGAGGACTGGAGCTCCTCAGGAGTCTCTTGGGCCTCCACAGAAGGTTCAACCTGGTCAGGAGTTTCTGGAGACTCCTCTGAGTTCTCCTGGGATTCCGGAGGTAGGTTGCCAGAAGAAGCTACATCTGTACTTGGATACACATAATCATCCTGCAAGTTGTTCTGAAGCTGAAGTTTTGCAAATTGCTTTGGAGTTCCACCAACAACTTTAGCAAATCTCGGATGCTGAGCTACATCCTTCTTCAGATTCAGTGGTGAAACAATAAACTTTGCTGCTTTTGCACTCTATCTAGAGGTGGAACAAGTACTTCAAATGACTGGTGATCTGTAGACTGATGCAGATTGACAGTATGAATCTTACTTTTGAGTCGAGCATTGGAACCAATTCTGGGAGCCTCTCTTTCGGAATTAGTTTGTCTTGATGCAGCAAACTGATCTTGAACAGCAAACTGATCCATCTCTGGGGCCAGCTCTCCAGGTGAAACCCTGCCCAAGAATGGAAGCAAACTGTCAGTTAACTTCCGTGGTGAGTCCAACATCTGGGAGCGAGCAGAGGACCCCAGGTCATCAAAGACTCCCGGGTCTGCCGGGGGTGTAAGCGCATGGGGCGATAAGGGTGGGAGTTCAGAGGAGAGCAGAGACCAGGGCTTGATAGGCCCTGGGTGCTCAGTGGTCAGCTGGAGAGGGTCCTGGGGCGACTCCAGAGGCTGAGCTGCCTGGACCAGCAGCCACAATGGTTGCCACGTGAGGAGAAGCCCTGGTGCCCAGAGGCGCAGCAGGGACATGACGTGCGGAGGCTTCGGGGCACAGCGACCTAGGCCAATGGGGCGCGGGGCGCGCCTGTGGGAGCCTAACCGTTATGGCAGCCCCTTGAGGCGCGCTCCTGGGAAACCTCAGTGGCCCCGCTCCACCCTTTATTTATGACACCTTGATTATGACACCTTTATTAGGCTCAACCTTTATTAGGCTCGCTCAGACCGGGAGCCTTTTCCCACAATCAACCAACCCAAGCTTCCCTTCCCCAAGCAGGGGCCACAATCGACCCCCACAGGCCCCCTCCCCTACATCGAAGCAGGATCTGGGCCCTAGATGTGGGTGGCACCAGGATTCTAGCAGCCCATTGGGTGGGGGGCGGCAGAGATTCCCAAGGAAGTCACAGGACTGAGCCTCTGGGGATATTCAGTAGTGCTAGTCCAGTTCTGGCGGCCTGAATTCTTCCTCTTCCAGGCTGAAATCCCAGAGATATTCTTCCTCCCCTTGGCTATACTGCTTCCAAGAGAAGCAAGTGACCTGTAAAACGAGGGCCAGTTAGGTTAACAGGCAGACTACACATTAAGGTTATTTATTCCAAAATGTTGCCATTTGCTCTAAACTCTCTATCCTATTTCATGTTTGATAATTAATTCATCACTCTGTTAGGCTGGGGCTACCATTGAAATCAGTGATGACTCCGAAATTTCTGTAGGAGGGGTTTTAGGCAGTGGGCAATTCAGTCTGAGAAAGGGGTGTGAATCCGTGTGGACAGCCCTTTACACTGGCATGGGAAAACATCTCCTTCCCACCTTGGCTCAGGTAGGCGTGACAACACCACTTTTTTAAAGGTGACTTTTTTTTTTTTTTTTTTTTTTTTAAGAGAGAGGAGAGAGGAGAGAGAGTGAGTGAGGAGA